GGTTACTTTTAATGCCAAGAGATTTAAATATGTTTATTTCCTTTATTAACATAGTTTGTTATTTATTGGTTGAATTTAATGCGTTCAATATGTAACAATTTTGTCAGAAGCACAACGTTTATTTTTATTTTTAAAAATAATGTAACAGTAGTATACCTAAGGTATTACTGGATCAAATGGTGAGCTATCCATCCAGTTTTCAAGTCGAAAGGCTTGGGTCCTGAAGAAGTAGCCAAAGAATAAGAAGAAGAAGTGATCGACAATGACCGGAAGGTTAGTGACGAACTATACTCACCTCCCTAGGTAGGCAGAGGTAAAAGAAGTGTCGCCGAAGGTAGGAAAAGGTAGCCAGGTGTCATAAGTACAGGTGTGCCAAGGTGTGTCACCTGTCACCTATACAGGTGAGCCTGAAGAGTATTGAGGAGCCTCGCCTAGCCTAGCCCGTATTGTAGGGATAAAAAAATGTCTCCAAAGAATGCAATGTAATACGTCCTTAACGAATATGAAACGATTGGTAATGATTAGTAGAATAGGAAACGTAAACAATTGTTGGAATATTGATAAAATATTTATTAATTATGTGTATATAAAAATTATAATTTGATATCTTTAAAAAGGTTATAGTTCAAATAACAGATATTACAATCATTGCAAAACATAATACAGGGTGTCTGTAAAAGGTCTTTACAAAAACATATAATCCGTAGACCAAAATAAGTCGATTTAAGTAAAATTACCTTGGTACAAAGTTGCTTTGTTTAGGCTCCAGAGGGCCTTGAAGTTACAATTTTTAAATGGTTTTTCCCATATAAATTTAAAACAGCATATGCGATTTTGCTGAAATTTGGTATATTGGTAGAGTTTTATGTGTTAAAAAAAATGATATTAAAATTTTGTCCGATAATAATACATAGGCGTAGAAATTGATTTTTTAAATGATTGCACCTTCTACGCCAATGGAAGAAAAGGAGTTTGAGTATAAAATTTAAATTGCGCAACTCATTTACTTTAAAAAAGGTACTCTTGATAAGACTCGATTACTCTCATGGTTTTCGCTAAATTTCTGTTTTAATAATTTAGAGTGTATAGGTTTCACAAAAATATTTATTTACAACATAATCAAAATAGAGATTTTACAAAAATTGTTCAAAATGTTCACCATTTTCACGCATACAAAGATTTATACGTCGAAGAAAATTAAAATCTATCCTTTCCATAACTTCTTCATCACCTCTAAGATTGTTTATTGCATCTTGAATACCTTGCCAGAGTTGTTCCTCATTTTCTACAGTGTGGATTTCAGATGTCCCCATAAAAAGTAATCCATTGGTGTTAGGTCTGGGGAACGTAGTTGCCAGTTTACAGGTGCGTCATTTCCTCTGCCTATCCATTTGTGTGGATATTGTTCATTCAAGTGGTTTCTAACGTTTAAAGAAAAATGTGGTGGAGCTCCATCTTGCATAAACCACATATCTTTTCGAAGTTGGAGAGGTAAATCTTCTAACAATTCTGGCAACATATTTTGTAGAAAATCCAAATAATTTTCTCCAGTTAATCTTCGTGGAAGTATGACAGGACCAACAATGAAATTACCAATTATTCCAGCCCACACATTAATTTTGAATTCGTGCTGAAAATGGTTTACCTTTATTGCATGCGGATTTTCAACGGCATAAACATGTTCATTATGGGTATTAGTTATACCTCTTCTTGTAAAACCCGCTTCATCGGTAAAGAGAACCTTATTGACAAAGTTTGGATCTCTTTCTCTTTGCATATTAACAAATCGACAAAAACCCAAACGAATTTGAGGATCATGGACTAATATTTCTTGTACTGGCTTCTTATGGTATGAATATAGCAATTGTTCTCTAAGCACTTTATGAACGACATCTTTACTTACTCCTAGTTCCCTTCCAATTCGTCTGGTGCTTAATTCTGGATCTTCTTCAACACGTTCTAAAATGTCTTCTTCAACTTCAGGAATCCTTACAAAACGTTATCTTCCATTATCAACAGTATTGGGAGCAAAGGAACCGGTCTCCCGAAGACGTCTCTCAATAGCAGCAAAAGTTGGGTGGCTAGGTACACGACGATTTGGAAACCTTTTAGAGTACACCCTGACACTCTCTTGAGCATTTCCTTCACAAAATCCCAATGTCAGTAACATATCGGTATATTCTGCATTGGTATATTGTACAGCCCTATTAATAAACCACGCATTTGTTTTTTTAATTATTGAGTCAGATAAAATACTTTCAATCGTTAACAAGAGATTAGGTGTTAAAACTTGACAATATTTTTATTTAGATAAAAAAACTGCAGGCAAATAATTAATATTCCTCAAAAAATCGTACATGGCAAGAATCGAGTATTTTTGTTAAAAGTCTCGATTAGAGGTGTTGAAGAAGATATGAAAAAAGTACATTTTTATGTTTTTCATCGTATAAAATTTTGTCCGATAATAATACATAGGCGTAGAACTTGATTTTTTAAATAATTGCACCTTTAAAAATTCTACGCCAATGGCAAAAAAGGGGTTTGAGTATGAAATTTGGATTGGGTACTCATTTACTACAAAAAAGTACCCTTGATAACACTCGATTTACTCTCATGGTTTTGACAAAGTTTGTATTTTAATAATTATTGTTTATGTTCTAAAATTACTCAAATGCAAATTTCGTCAAAACCATGAGAGTAATCGAGTCTTATCAAGAGTACCTTTTTTAAAGTAAATGAGTTGCGCAATCTAAATTTCATACTCAAACTCCTTTTCTTTCATTGGCGTAGAATTTTTAAAGGTGCAATTATATAAAAAATCATGGTCTACGCCTATGTATTATTATCGGACAAAATTTTAATACCATTTTTTTTGCCACAAAAAACTCTACCAATATACCAAATTTCAGCAAAATCGCATATGCCGTTTTAAATTTATATGGGAAAAACGATTTAAAAATTGTAACTTCAAAGCCCTCTGGAGCCCAAACGAAGCAACTTTGTACTAAGGTAATTTTACTTAAATCGACTTATTTTGGTCTAAGGAATATGTAGTATGTTTTTGTAAAGACCTTTTACAGACACCCTGTATAAATTATAAATAGTTAGATTTAGCACAGGTTTTAATTAACATGTATTTAAAAATAAAAAAATGTGTGTCGTACTGATTTTTAAATTATTTAAAAACAAATAATTTTTGTTAGTTCAAAGTGATTTATCATATATAAAAAATAACAGGTACACATATAAAGGAGTAGGATGACACAAATAAGTTGGTAAGTCATATAATTATTAAACAAAACAAATGTTCATATATTTATTTACTTTATTTATCAATAATTGTATACTAAAAAAACAATTACAATATTTATTTAATATTACTATTTTAACAATCAATGATTTTAAGTACATAATTAAGGTTATTTTTTTCGTTTTGTATACTTTATCACACTAGAAATTCCCTGTTGTAATTTAGTAGAATCCAGGGTTAATTTACAATGTTTTCTTTTAGCCTTGCATTTAATACAAATAATGTTTACACAGCATCTGTTACAGTTAACGATGTGTATTGATGAATGACATTCAATACAGGTATAAATACTGTCACTCATATTAGACTAATTTGAATTGTATTTTACAGTTTTATATTAAAAAAAATTAAACATAAACAAAACATTGTTATTCTTGGTTTCCAAGTTCCACAAAATTGTCTCTGAATTTTTCTAGACTAAAAGTGCAACCGTGAATGACAATAGATTTATTTCCAATCCATATTTTCCACAGTACATAGAGCTTTCAATCGGGGCAACAGGATAATAAGTTTTACGATTACCAATTACATATGCTACAGTGTGATTTAGTGAATTTCTAATTTAGTTCCCAAAGGTAAATTCTTATCATCAAAATAGAATGCTGGATATGTATTTAAAACTAACTATATTGTCTTTGGTTATTTCATATAGGTAGAATGTTCTTTCTTCAATTGGAAATTTATAATTTTCTACTTAAATTTCATCTAATTGACTTTTGTGAGCTAAACTTGTGTAAGTAAAAGTAAAAAATATAGTAGCAATCAAAAATATTTTTGTTTGATACATTTTTTCCATTAGATATTTTCTTTTTAAGTGTCTTGTCTTAATACAGGTGAATTAATGACCTAATTAATAAAGAACCACATATTTATACTTTTTCAAAATATATTATGCGCATGTCTAGGTTATGAATAAAAAACTTTAAAACTTTCATTTATACACATTTTTTTTTGATTATTTATAAATTCGATACAATCACTTTGTTTTTTACACAAGGTCTTGTCTGAAAACACACAGGACAAGTCATAATGACATTTTTGACATTCCAATTATTATCAATTTTGGCTTTCGTCTTTTTTGTTGACTGTCTACTAATGAGGTTTCGGCAAACACAGGATACGATTTCCTCTACTACACCGGCCGTGTATGTTTTAAATTGAATTCCAGATATTATATTTTTTCGTTGATGTTGTAATAGGTTTCCCTATCAAAGATTCTTCCTTATATAGGAATCTCCTCTCTCTCTCTTTTGATATCTTTACTGAAATAGAAAATCATGTTTTTGATTAAATTATTTTATTAAATAATAAATATTTTTTTATTTTTTTTTAAATTTGATAAATAATGTTACTTACAGAAAAGTTTTAAGATATCCAGTTGTTTAAGATGATCAGTGGGATCAGCTTGTAAATTAATTAAGCAAAAAAAAAACGAACTGTTATTTATTTAGTAAATAAATGTCTTGTTTAAAAATTGATAATAGTCATTGAATCCCCAAGGTTTTGTATCCGTATATATAGCGGTGACAATTCTTTTGTCATCATAGGGACTCAATGCAATTTTTTTTGTGAAATAGTGTACACTTCATGTTTTGTTGATATTATAGAATTATAGAATTTTGTGAATTATTAAATAATTACCTATGATAATCCTCAAATCCTATTTACTTTAAAGCTGATTTTTTAATACCTTTTTCCTTCTTAATTTCAATTTCAAATTCTTTATTATCATCATCTACTATTCGTTCTGATGATGATGATGATGATGACATTACTTTTAAAGCATACATTTTTGATCTTAAACCAATAAAGTGTGTCATGATATTACCCTTATTCTCGTCTTTCATCAAACCCAAAACTTTGTTATTCTTTCTTGGAATTTCAAAAACATTATTTTCTGGATAGTCTGATGTATCAAATTTATCTGTCTTCTTTTGTATGTTTATAAATGTCATCAATGTCTGAGAAATGGTAAATTAAACTGTCAGTGTCTGAATACATTAATTTTGCCTTACTATTAAACTTTTTGTTTATATAATTATAATGAAAGTCGTAAATAAAAGTTTTTGAAATGTCTAATATTGATGTTCCTATAAAAATTGGTTTATTTAAAGTTACTTTTAGTTTAGTCAATTCAATAATTACCATATCTTCACTAAATATATTAAAACTATGAAAATTAGGTTGTGAAATATAATACTTAGCACCATATCTTCCTAACCATTTAGTCACTAGCCTAACATCCCTATACCGTTTAACGTTCTCGATGGCCTTACCATAGGGTGCATTGTTCATTAATTTAAAAAAGTTTTTTTCAATCATTTTTATTCTGTTTTCGTAAATCTGTGTTTAGGTCAATATATGGTTTAAACCAACATGATTGTTTGAATTTAAGACAACGATGAATTTTTCTGACTACAATTCCCAACTGAATAGCTTGTTTTAATGCTAGATAATGAATGACATATTTTTCTTTATCATACAAAGTTGTTAGTAATTTTGGTTTGTCAGAATCTGACGTAGGTGGTACTAAATGTTCAGGACAGAGAAGTAAATCTTGATGTAAATTAAATAGTGGTCTAGGATAATGTAATCTTTATCAGATATTTCTTCACTTGTATATTTGCTATAGAAAGCCTCCTGTTTGGGAAAATATTTGTCTGTTAATTTTTCTTAGGAATTTATATATTCATAAGGAAAACCGCCCTTTCTTGTAACTAATTTAAATTTATAGTATTCACTAAAACATTTTCTGGTAGTTTTTTTTTTTCATTGTCATTTAAGTAAGATGATAATTCATTTAAACTATTTGACATAAACCCAAATGAATCTAAAAAAATCTAAAACTGATTTTAGTTCCACTAATATACTTTGTAAATGAAATATATTTTTCTTTATTTAAGGGTAGTAAACTATTATTTCCTTTAATTTTTGTGCTTAGAGCTTTAATAATAAAATGACTATCATAACCTGACAAGTCATGAAATAAAACTGGAACAGTATGTGAGGTTTTATAATTCAAATTGCATGCCTTATGGGCACTCCCACGGTAGATTTTTGTATATTGACAATGGTCTCTTACTTTTGTATCAGCATCAAGAAATGGTTTATGATAAATGTAACAAGTAGTAGACAAAAAAATTATTTTCTTCTTTCAGAGTTAGGTTCATTGGTTCTGGATTATTATGAATTTTATTAAGATCTTTAGTAATTTGCTGTAATTCATCTACAAACCAATCCAAACAGTCACGATCTGTGTAAACTCTAAATTTTGATAGATATTTATTTTCAAAATGTGATTTTAAATATTATGCAACACTAAATGCTTCATGCTTTTAATAAATTTGTGTATTACTTGTTTGTGTGTCATCATCGTTATCATAATCCTTAAGTATACTTTCAATATCTGCATAAATTACAAATGACACAGGTTCTTTGTTTTTAAAGTTTTTAAATTGCATAATTTTATTTGTTTCGTTGGGCATAACAACTTTAGTTTTATTAAAATTTTTACAATAATCTATATATTGTTCTAAATGAAATCTACTCATAAAATGATTTAAACATCTATCACACATCCATTTTTTATGTTTGATATTACCCAATTGTCTATTAACTAAACGTGATAAATCTTTTATACAAGCAAAGTGAAAAAAATTATTAGTTTTATCATCATCACTATTTCTATCACTGTTCTAATTATTTTCACAAGAAATCATAAGTGTTAATGGTAAAATTTCATATTTTCCTTTAATAATAAACACATTTATTGAAAGTTTATTTAATGATTCGAATTTGGGTATATCTTTCAAGTTTATTGGAAATTGTAAGTTGTCATATTTTAATACTCTACTAAAATGAGGATATGATGATGGTCTACTAGTAATATTATTAGCTGGGTATAGAGCACACACAACTGTCCACAAAAAGCAATAAGAATCATTATTTTTGATATTTATTACGCTTTTTGTATTCTTTATAAAATCTGGTAACTCAACATAAGTTGATATACCAACATTAATAGGACAGTAGTTATTCATGTTAACTTTTAAATGTAAAATTTCCAATAATGCCCACCCTGAATCTCGTTCTTGAAAGGATTCTAATTTAACCAAAAGTTTGTCAATCACATACACCTTAAACCACTCTTTCAAATTAGTATTTATATCAATAATTTTATTTTTTGTAGCAAAATGTTTAATAGATCTTTCACCATTTTGAGGTTTTATGAATACTGCGAATAAGACAAAATTTACTTTTAGTATACAAGACTTGAGTTGTTTTTTTATTTGAATTGAAAAAGTTTTTAAAGTATTGTAACACGAGTGTGGGTTGAAACTATTTATTTAATTACAATACAAAATAAATATCCGAATGTGTAAACTATTTACAATTAAAACGTTGATCCGCCCCGCGCTGACCCGCTTTCTCTCTTCCACTCCCACGTGACAGTGTCATATCATCCATCATCCATGGTAACCGCTTCCATGACCGTTCTCGATCATTCTTCACACTTTCTCCCCGTTTCTGTCAGCCTGCCCGATTGTAGGTTGGGTTTCCTGTCACCTTGACGGTTCGTTGTCTCGTACTGTTATGGCAAACCCTGGCACTGTCTCGTCCGTAGAGCCAAACCGTTACACTGCCCCCTCCTCAGATGCATTCCTCCTGGAATGCTGTTGAAGTCTTCAGACGTGGGGTTCTCTCCGTCCTGGAGCCGCTGTATTCGTACACCTTCATCGTGCCCTCTGGCGAATGGTGCTAGTCGATCAGAATGGACTACTAACGGTTTTCCTCGGGGAGCCTTGTAGATTCGATAGACTACGTCATTGATTCTCTTCCTGCTGACATATGGACCCTCCCAGCTCTTCTGCAGCTTTGGACATAAGCCCCGCCTTCTTCGTGGGCTGTAGAGCCATACCAGGTCACCTTCCTTATAGCAGGACTCTGCTGTTCGGCTGTCGTAATACTTCTTCCCTGCATCGGTTTCTGGCAGAGTACCCAGTACATCTACAGCGATCCTCTCGAATGGGCTTCCTACGATGTACTGTTGCATTCCAGCCCTACGCTTACGTTGTAGTCCATTGCTCGCCGCACAGGTGGCACATCTTCGGCACCAGTCTCTTACGTCGTCGGAGCAGCTCACCCAGTAGAACCTTTCTCGAACCTTCTGTAACGTCTTCTTCACACCCAGGTGTCCTCCTGACGTTCCATCGTGAAGCTGTCGTAGTATCTCTGGTATGCAGGTCTTCGGGACTAGCAGCTGCCTCTTTGATTGTGCCATCGGCATTTTCAACGATTCTTTTTAGCAACCCCTCTTCAATCACCAAGGAGTTCCACTGAGCCCAGTAAGATTTCAGTCCTGGTGAAGATGACGATACCTCTTGCCAGGTTGGACGACGATTTGCTGACACCCATTCTCTGATTCTTTTCAGGTCACGGTCGCTCTCTTGCTGCTCTTGAATCCTCCCTTTGGACCATTCCTCGCTGACGACTTTAATCTGGCGCATGCTGGCTTCCTTCTCCTCAAGGCGACTGCAATGGGAGCAATTCTGTTGGCAAGGTCTTCTGGAAAGGGCGTCGGCGTTACGGTGACTCAGTGAAGTCAGGACGAGGAGAGAGTCTTGTAGGCTACTTCGGGTCGATGTCGCCCTCCTGGAGTCGACCCGTTCTAGTTTTCCGGCTGTCTGGGGGTCATCTTGGGTGGTCTTGTCACGATGCTGGCATGCACTTCTGACGTGACCAAGTTCTCCGCAGCTCCAACATCGTACTGATCTCCTCTTCTTTGTCGCCATAGTCTTCATCAGGCTCACCAGCTGTTCTAGGATCTCCCTGTTGGACTCTCCATGGTGTTCCTCTTCGCTGGAGTGGCTGGTGACGGTTCGGACTCGGTCATGGGCACGGGACGCTGCAGTTGCTGCTTCAAACTCCAACGCCGTTGACAGTGCATCCACCAGGACCTTGGGACGGGCTAGGCGCAGTGCTCTCTGCAACTCCTGGTCTCTCATTCCATCGACGAACGCTTGGACAGCTAGGCATTCGAGTACGTTTTCAGGGGCCGAGGAATAGGCAAAGCGTACCATCCGTGCAACGTCGGCTTCGAACTCCTGGATGGACTCACCTGCCTTCTGTCTTCTATTCTTAAGTTGGGACTGGTAGACTTGTTCCAGGTGTGCTTGGCCGTACCTCATCTCTAGACGCTTCACCAGTTGATCGAAGTCTTTGGACTCGTCGGCATGGAGGGTCTGCAGGACATCTAAAGGCATCACCACGTAGGGCAACTATGAGTGCTACTGCCTTCTCTCCAGGGGACCATCCGTTGGCGTCGGCCGCTGCGTTGAACTGCTTGAGATAGTTGGGCCAGGAGGTCTTGCCGTCGAAGGTAGGTGGCTTCATTCTGGCTTTGGTCTCACCTACAGCGCCGAAGTCTCGTCGATCTTCACCTCTTGAAGACTGGCGGGAGAATCGTTCTTCGATCGCATGGAGCTTGATCTCGAGCGTTAAAAGATTGCTCTCCAGCCTTTCTACCACGGGGTTGGGTTCCTCTTCTCTGCTTCCAGGAGGTGGCGGATTGGACAGGAAATCTTGTAATTTCTGGATCTCTTCTTCGACGCCGGATATTCTTTCCTCCTGCTGAGCGATCACACCGGATATTCTTTCTTCCTGTTGAGCAATCACACCGGTTATTTTTTCTTCCTGCTGAGCAATCACACCGGATATTCTTTCTTCCTGTCGGGAAATTTCTGCTCGCAGTTCTGCTGCCTGGTTAGCTATGGCCCGGGAGAGGTTGGACACTTCTTCATTAATCTCATGAACCTCGGTGGACATGCTGGACATCTCGGAGGACAGGCTGGTCATCTTTTCAGCAATCTCATTTCGCTGATCGGAGATCTCGGTGGACAGGTTGGCCGTCCTTTCGGCAAGCTCATCTCTCTGAAGGGACATCTCCGTAGACAGCTCGGCGTGGATAAAGGACTTCACAGCCTTCAGGGAGGGATCTTCCAACTCTATGGCATCAGGATCGTAGTACTCCCTCAAACGTGCTACCAACACCGTCTTGGGTCCCGTCGTGTCTAGCTCAAGTTCTTCTAGCTCTCTTCTGAGCTCTGCAACCAGCAACAGATTTATCTTCTTCGACATCTTCTTTCTTCACCCCACACCTGACACCAATTGTAACACGAGTGTGGGTTGAAACTATTTATTTAATTAAAATACAAAATAAATATCCGAACGTGTAAACTATTTACAATTAAAACGTTGATCCGCCCCGCGCTGACCCGCTTTCTCTCTTCCACTCCCACGTGACAGTGTCATATCATCCATCATCCATGGTAACCGCTTCCATGACCGTTCTCGATCATTCTTCACACTTTCTCCCCGTTTCTGTCAGCCTGCCCGATTGTAGGTTGGGTTTCCTGTCACCTTGACGGTTCGTTGTCTCGTACTGTTATGGCAAACCCTGGCACTGTCTCGTCCGTAGAGCCAAACCGTTACAGTATTTTGTAAAAATAATTTAGGATCTTTAAATTTTAAATTTATTATTATACCTGTTTTAATTCTCCCATTAAAACATGATTCTAAGTCCTGCCAAATAAGTTGTCGTTTTAAAAGTTTCTTGTTTAATTTAGATTTGAAATTTTGAAGGTACACTTTTAGTATTGACAGATTGGATTCTATTTTTGAAAAAATTTTTACACAGTTATATCTATTTTTTATACATTTATTTAATAAAAAAATATGTTTTTTCAAATACCCTATGTATTTATTAAGTTCGTCTTTAGACTTAATTATTCTACTCACCACCTCAATTTTGCTTACAAATTCTTCGGACATGCTATCTATTACTTTCTGGGAACTCATCTTTAATGAATACAACTTGTGAACTTGTTGCTCTGGTAGATTGAAAAGAACCAAACTGTTTTTCGTTAAGCTTTTATATACTGGAAATTGTTAAAAAAAAAACATTTTAAATTAAATGTTTCTCGAATGTTACTCTTATCATTAGCATTCATTAATTTCTGTATATAATAAGCATTTCTAAAACTATTCATTATCAGTTGTATTTCGACGACGATTAATACTACTCTACAATATGGCTACTACTCCATCAACATTAGTGATTTACACCGAGGATAGAATCAATTTTCCAATCAAAGTCGCGATGATAGTGATGAAACACCTATTTCAGTAAGTATATATTTTTAAGATTGATATGTATTTTCTCTTTACTTTATTAATAATTAATTTATATAATAAGATTATTTTTTTATTTCTTATCAGTTGTTTATGTAAATTATTATAGTTTTCATGTTTAGTTAATGTACCAAAGCATGTTTACATTTTTTTTTTTATTTATATTTATCGGTGTTGATAAATATATATAATTTTTGATTGATTATGTTTTAATTTGTTTCAGATATGGTGCAAAGGAAATGACTGCAAAAGATGGAAATTTTTTTTATCTTTAACTTATTCACCAAAAACGGCAACTTTAAAAAAAATTTGGTAATCTACCGGTTCGGTATATGAGAGCTAAAATTGAGAAAGAGGCAGAATTTAAAATGAAAAACAAGATAAATAATAAACGACAAGTGGTTAATGAAATTCATAAACCTGCTAGAATTAATTTTAAAAGAAGAAAAGTAATAATTAAATCATTCACTGATCCCTTTCAAGCAGATTTAGCAGATATGCAAAAATCCAAGAGTGTGGTTGACAAGCATTTTGCTCTCTTCTACACCTCATACAACAAAACACTTCGGAACTATACAATCTGCGTAAAAATTTATGTTCAAAATAACAATAGTTACAATTATATATATATATATATATATATATATATATATATATATATATATTATTCTTACTGGTCTGAATGGTGTTGGTCTGTTGGAATTCATTTTAATTAATACATTTATCAAAAGTTGTATTGCTATTTATATACATCTTATCTGGTAAACTTTAACCTTTTGATGTCTTTTCTTTTCTATAATACGGGCTAGGCTAGGCGAGGCTCCTCAATACTCTTCAGGCTCACCTGTATAGGTGACAGCTGACACACCTTGGCCACACCTGTACTTATGACACCTGGCTACCTTTTCCTACCTTCGGCGACACTTCTTTTACCTCTGCCTACCTAGGGAGGTGAGTATAGTTCGTCACTAACCTTCCGGTCATTGTCGATCACTTCTTCTTCTTATTCTTCGGCTACTTCTTCAGGACACAAGCCATCCGACTTGAGAACTGGATGGATAGCTTACCATTTGATCCAGTAACACCTTAGGCATACTACTTGTAACTTTTTGATTCACAATATAATCTACGAAGTGCGTATATGCCATTTTATATGCCGTGACCTTATTTATAATATAGACCCTCATTTGCAAAGTACGCCTATAGAATGTGACGTTTTATCCCACTTTTACTGCACTCATTT